TAGAATAGAATAGAATAGAATAGAATAGAATAGAATAGAATAGAATAGAATAAAATAGAATAGAATAGAAAATCCCCTTATTGTCCCAAAATGGGGAAATTGTGGTGTTATGGCAGCAAAAGGCACACTATCAGCTAACTACATTTCAGTAAAAGTTAAATAAAGTTTTTTCTCTGTTAGGCTACATATTGATTTTCTAAGTTGATTTATTAAAGCCTCAGAAATCTTTGACTTCCATGTCAAATGTGAAAAAAATATCCATGTAAAACATCTGTTGATATTTTGTCAACATGTGGTTGAAAAGCATTGGTGGGTCGTCCAAACAGGTGATCCTCACCTGACTTTTAAAATGCAACTTCATGCAAAAATCGGGCAGGAAGGGTGGACATTTCTGGAATTTGTGGATTACAGATCTTTTCATGCAATAAAAAGAGAAGGTAAAATAAAACAACTTTAAGTAAGATGATTAAGCTTCCTTATTCTGAATGCTTATGGAACAAGAAAGTCTATTATTTTCATTTCCTTTTAGTACATTGAGTTTGACAGGTTTAAAATCACACCTTACAAATACAGGCGGCTCCTAATTCACATGTTGCTCTCAACCGTACAGTCTGAGCTCAAAGGAATGTCATATGACCCCAACTTTAAGGAACTTGTTTTCCTCCATCTCTCTGCAGCGCAGTTCTGGCAGCGCCTGCATTATTTTGTGACCCCCTTCATGTTTCCAGGGTACTGATTTTAACCCATCTTGATCAGAGGTGTTACCTGAAACGTGGGAACCTGTGTATGACGCTTTACTTAGACATGGTAAAAAAATCTTTCAGAAATAAATCAGTGTTTTCGGATGGTTATACATTTTATTTTGTGGGTGGTCTAGGAGATACAAATAAACCTAAGATGGTAAAACAAAGAACCGCGTTTTAAAAAATAGGGAATAAAAGCTATTTAAAGGTATGTCATCTGTATCAGGTGCAAAAGATTAGCAAAGATAAGCAAAAAATTAAAAATACTAACAAAACTTCAAAATCTTCTCATCAGCTTTTGTGTTTTTTTAATGGGGATAAGGACACAACTATCTTTTTTGACAATTTCTTGTTACACAACCAAACATGATTTTAAACACTGACAGCGACCCTGTATAGAACCATCTGACTCCAGCATAATGCTCCAACATGCCCTAACTAACCAGAAGTCATGTTTATTTCTCATCAGATTTCTCCTCATTCTTTTAGTCACAGAAGACATCAGAGTTAATGTTTTTCTCACAAGCGCTGCTCTGACCCATCTGATTTAAATGGATGATATACCTGCTGTCATCAGGAGATACATGGCAATGCATGCTTAATGTGACTAAGATGTAGAACGCAAGAAACATCTAGAGCATGCAGCATACCAGTCGTTTAGGATGGGTTTCGAAAACCAATTGCCCCACTATGTTAATATCCACCTGTTAAGACAAACATGATTTTAGCTTTTGGATATTTTTGGTATAAGTTGAAAGACAAAATATAAACTTAATCTACAGAATAGAGTTGCTTAAACCATAATTAAGATGTAGATGTTCTTCTGGAGCCTCCATTATGAAAATATCTACAACAAACCCTGCAAACTACTATATGATCGCTTTCTCTAGCACATAAAAATACTACATATTTAAGAAGGGTAGATTATTTTTAGTTGTTCATGAGGGAAACTAATGGGAAGTGGGAAATCTGAGTTTTATCAACAAACCTCAAGCTTAATAAGACAATATGGTCGCCACAGTATAAAGATTAAACATTAGACAAGTTATTTGCACATCAGACATTTTGCATTTTTTGTGAGAATGGAAAAGCAAAGCATTATCAGCTAACCCTAGACCACTTCTAGCACCAGTGAACACAACACACCAAGGGGATAATAAATACTGTCACAAAAAAGCTAAAACTTTTCATTATACGCTTTCAATAATTTACTTTCATTCTGATGAGATTTCTTAGAAAATTGCCCTGATATATAGTTAATTAACTAGAACATGCAGTCTAATGAGAAAAATAACAACCTTTAAGCAGGTATTACACATAATTATCATTAATCCAACATTACAGAAAATTTGATAGGATTAAATAACATACGTACTTAGAATAATAAGGTTATAATAGGTCATAAAATGTTCACTTTAAAACCAGCTATTAATCAGGAATTTCCACTATTCCAACTGAGAACAATGGTTTTTGTTGCCTTATATTTCTACTTTTAAGTTTGAATACCACAGACAGTGTTTTTGTCATTTTTATTATAGCTGTAACAGTGTAACAGATATACTAATAATAATGACTGTAGGTGTCTTTAATACCAAGTAACTGGAATACCAAAGATCTCTATGCTCCAATGTCCCAATTCCAAGGTGAATTGAATGCACCATCATTAACAGACACTAGGCTGTGACAGTATAGGTGTATTGTTTTAACAGAGAAAAACTAAACTGCATTGGTGACATTTAAACCGATAGAGGGCAGTACTAGGACAGTTTTTGGCCAATATTGTAGAATTCTACAAGGTTACATTGAAATGTCCAATTGTGAAGCGCAACGTAAAGATAGCACTATGGGTGGGTATTTATCGCATCGTTGATCATCATTGTGATACATTTCTATTCATGATAACAATTCTGATTTATTTTCTCTGATGTTGCTGCTGTTTTTCAAATATCTATTACCGTACAGTAAAAATGTCCATTGATGTGTATTGGTTATTTTATTCACCAGGTGCACAGTTTTATGTTGTAATACTTTACAGTACAGTGTTTCATTTTTTATCTTTTAACACTTCACTATCATGTTATTCTTACACATTTTTCTAAGGTCCACATTTGTGTGACAATTTTTTTCTATTATCTTTTCGCTGCTGTAAAAGCTGAAATATAATATTAGGAAATAAAATGGTTTTATCTAGAGATGCCTAATTTGGGGTTGTGTTACACTTTAAATGTCTTTCCATTCACTCTAACCAGAAGATTTTGCTGGTTAACAGAAAAAAAGACTATAAAAGGTCAGTCTGTGGCTGGGAGAAAACATGTCAACTGCAGTGGGTCTGGACCGGATCAAATATATGGCGGGAGTTTGCCTGAAATACATTGCATGAGTTTTTCTTACACCAATTCAGAGACGATATTTCAGCAACAGGGAAGCCTGCTGGAGACTTTGAGGGTCTAAAGGAGCCAACCACTTCCATGTTTTTTGGGACTACCAGGTGATAAAACCATTTTAGGAAGGGTTCCACAAACATATTGAAAATATATTCAATGTAAAAATACCATTCAAATGTGAAACGTTGTATTTGGGCAGCTTACATTTGGTTACAAGGACCAATAATGATGTAAAACTGCTGGTCATACTAGTGGCAGGCAGTAAGAAAGCCATTACAAGGAAATGCTTAAAACCAGATCCACCGGCTATCGATGAATGGATTGATATTGTTCAATAGATTTATGCTATGGAAAAAACTTTTTTTTCCCTCCAAAAGGGAAATTTGATAAAATCTGGACTAAATGTACTGAATATTTAAAACTAATTAGATCTGATTTAATTTGATTGCTCTTGTGAATTATGTGTCCTGCCCTTTTATGTTCTTGTGGTTTTTATTGCTCGAGGTGGGGCAATCCCCAATATTGTTCAATTCTGTTCATTTTTGTTATGGTTCACAACTAAAGTTAATTTTACTATTTTTATTACTAAAATTAGTAATAGTCTGTAAAAAAAAAAAACTCAGAAAGGCAGCATGGACAAAATCACTTGGACTCTGCCAATATTCTCATGTACGACCTCAAATGGGTAAAGCAGTAATGAATGTGATGGAAATCTGTCTTTCTAATAAAAATACATAATTACAAAAAAAAATCAGTATGGGTGCAAGTAATATATATTAATTGTTTCAAGTAATTACATTTTTTAATACATTATTTTAAAAATATAAATTTTTGAATAATATTTCAATGCACATAATATGACTCTAATAAATGTTGCTGTTGAATTACAGCTTAAATATGATGACGCACATTTTTTTGATAGAAGAGTCAAAAAATGTTACTGGCTGCATGCATTTTGTTTATTACTTGACCTGTAAAAAATGAAATAGAAGAAGGTTTAGAGATCTAAAAAACAAACAAAAACCTTATGGTAATGGAAAAGAAACTCAAACTCTATTCCAAGAGCGCATCAACAACTCCTCCAGGAGGTCGTACAGGAACTCTGAAATACACCTTATGCTTACTTCATTGAAGAACTGAAATTATCATTTGAAAGTTTCCTTTTGTGTTTTCTCAGGATATATATGTCTGATTAAACATTTAGATGTTTTTTGCGCTACATACTTCACTCCTTCTTTTAGCTCCTCATTAATACTCAAAAAAAGAAAAAAAAAGCAGGCATTACTTTGGTTAGGGGGCTTTTCATGTCAAGACATTAAAATGTAAGATCTGAAGATCTTGTGCCGCAATAAAATGACCACAACAGTGAGAAAAGCTGCAAGTGTTTGGAAAGTCTTGTGCAGAGCATTCCTCTCAGAGCGGCTGAGAATAACCAACGCCTCAGACTTTCCAGAAACACAAAGAGAACCACAGGATACCAGTCTCCCACTGTGTGGGACAGCAGCTTCTGCTCCCACTGCATCTGGCAGAGCGTCATCTTAACCCTACACTACAACACACTGACATGTGGAGAGATAAACAAACATTCAAGCCCTGCAGAGAGCATTCACTCACAAACAGAAGCTACATTCAACAGACCTGAAAAGCTCCTTCACTAAACCAGACAAACACACAGTGAGAGTCCTCATACGCTGTCATAACTTGTCACGCACGTTTCCAACAGTTCCCTGGGGTGAGGATCACATTTGTCAAAACAGACAAGCAAATATGTACAGACATAGAACACAAAACATAGTAAGAGGTGAAAGATGAACCTCTGATGAAGCTGCAGAAAAAAATCTGAGCACTTTCTGAGAAACAGTGCAGCAAAAACATAAATAAGTTGGCAAAAAAATTTAAAGTGGAAGATCCTTCCTTAAACCAGATACAATTTCTTTATATTTTAAAGGACCGTGCAAATAATGTTTCACACTTCTTGCCTCATTTCTTTAAATCTATTCATATACTTCTATCTCTTTACCTTCTGTCTGGCGGTTCTCACTCGTGGGCACAGAAGTCGTTCCACCAGCTTCTCTTGCAACATGATGGCATCCATCCTAAACCACCCCAACACTGACAGACTAAAATAGCCACCGGTCTCAGAAAGTTGGAGCAGCAGCCCAGCAAGGAATGGAAAAAAAAGCAAGTCTCTTTCCCTGGTTGCTGTCCCTAAATATATTTGTCCTAGACTCCCTGCTCTTACGTTTGTTTACTTCCCAGTCCTGCTTCTTTGTTAAATTCTATCTTTTCTGTGCCCTACAGCGGTTCGGCTCACCCTGTTCAGACAGGTATGAAGAAATGTTCCCTTCTGAAATGGAGTTTAGCAGGGAGAGAAGGAGAGAGAGAGAGGTGGCAATTTGAGGGAGGAAACAAGGGAGGGATGGAAGAGGCGAATGTCTGAAGGAAACCCATTCATTCAGTCCACATTCCCTACCCCCCCCTTTAGACTAACATATGAAAAATAAATTCTCCCCCAAAATCCCCACCAACCTTCAGCTTCATGTAGTCAGAAAGTGCAGATAGTTTGTATGCTTAACATATGAAAAGGGAACCTGTTTCAACCTGAAGGAAACAAAAGCTTCAGAGATACAAACGCTGCATGTACAGACAAATGCAGTGAGGTTATCAGATAATAAAGAAATTAACCTGCCAGTCATTCTTCTCACTGATGTGTTCACTCTAATATAATACAAAAAACAAACTTATATAGTGTACATCAGAGGCCCTGGAGAACTTACATTAGAAGTAGAAAAACTGCATTCAAAACCCAAACATCTAAATTCTCATACAGGATAAAAAATTAAAAGTTTGTACCACCCAAATAGAAAATAAAGCATGTGAATCTTGGCAGCAAGCACAGAAATCTGTACGTATAATTCATAAGACTCTAAGGAGTCAAATGGGAAAGCAAAATGAAAAGAAATATAATATGACGTATAGTCTTCTCAAACTAAAAAGCTGACAATTAAGTTATTTATTTGCTTCATTTGGAAGGGACAGTTACAATAAACATAGATCATAAAATAGTGTCTGTCTCCCACAGAGTAAAAATAGATCAAAAGAAAAAATAACAAATACATGCTGCTGCCAGGATTTTTTTTTTCTTTTTTTTGTGGCCAGTCCACTCAAAGTCTTAATATTTGCAGGGAGACTTTACCACAGGTTGCTTCCTTTCACAGAAGCAGCTCTTGTTTATCTAGAAGTTTCCAAGTAAAAATGTACAAATGTAGATGTAATATGATTAAAAGTTGACCATTTAATTCTTATTTACCTTCATAATTAATTAAATTAATAACAAGAGAAAGACACAGATAGAATGATGGTTAATCTAATTTAGGAAGAGCATTACTTAAACCCCAAGTAGTTTAAAGTTGAACAAAATCTTTCAATTTGACCAACTTGCTTCTCCTGAAAAGAAGTAGCATTATTGGCCTGAAGTGACCCAGTTGGAGGTCCAAATTTATTTCTGATGGTTGTGATTAGGGTGATGGCAGGGAGGCCTTTTTGAGCTCATTAACAAAGATGAATTGTCACAATACCAGCGAAGATATGAAGAAAAACCGCACAGTATTTGGCTGCTGTACAAAAGATATTTCCATTAAAGATGGATGGATTACACCTTATGGGGAGTTAATGAGGACACTGAGCTCAGACGGCATAAAGGAACAATGAGCCAGTGTGTCTTCACTTATCACTTCAGAAGTGCTTACGTATATATATATATATATATATATATATATATATATATATATATATATATGTGTGTGTGTGTGTGTGTGTGTGTGTGTGTAACGGAGGTACATTCATGGCAGAGGGTAAAGCCAATTGATTCCAGATGTTACAATGGCATTCGTACGTGTGTGCGTGTTTGATGGGTGTGTCTGGCTAACACATAATGTGGGCAGCAGAAGTTAAACATTCTTTGAAATAAAAGAAGGAGGACCGTTTTTTTCCCCCACACAGACGTGACCCATGTTGATGCCACGTACAGGATGTTAAAGCTACTGCCCCGACCACAGGGGGGAGACAGAGGACTACACTGGGGTTAAAAGTTTGAAGATCTTTGTGAAGGAAAGTCTCAGTGTTTTCAACTGAAATAATGCAATATAGAGCTATGCTTCATTAACTAGACGGATTTATGAGCTTTAGTAGAAGGAGTGACGGTATAAACAAAGGAAAGGGGCAGATGTCTTGCAATGGTCTTACAATAACCCCAGTTAAACCCCCCACAGTTTGTCCTTCTCAGTAGCCAGCTGTCCCTCATCTCCCATTCAGGCACCCAACACCAAACAAACAGGCCTAATAGAATCACTTATTCACACTTCTGTTACACTTGGATATTCAGTATGAGTGAAAGTAAGCTGTTTGCTCCTCTTCTTTGACCTGCTCAGTTTGTCCTCCCATTACATTTCAAAACTGTTTGAAACCTTAGACAGGCTATCATGGCTGTTCTTTAAGCTTTATTTTCTAAAACAGAAGTTAACATCAAGAAATGCAAACTTTAACAAATGTAACATAACCAAATTTAAAGAAGCATAAGGTTTTAAGTAGGAATGCATCGATATCAAAATCTGAACTGATATCTAATATTGATATTGCCATTATGTCCAAAAATACTATATTTTTACCAATACCATGTGTAATGTATTTATCGAATTATTGGACACCATTAGAGCAACAACATACTTCTTAAAAACGGTTTCTCTACTTGAATCAAAAGCTATGATTTATGATTACCGCCACCTGACCAAATAGATAGCATTGCAGATCCCCTCCCATCTATGACCTGAAACAGAAACAGCTACTTCATGGAAATGAATATCGATCATTAATATTGGCCCAATTTTCAATGATTCAATGATACAGATATGCTAGAAATGACCAACCAATATTATTACTATCAATATATCATACATCCTTAGTTTTTAGGGTGTGATATGTTAGTTTATAAGACAACACTGATGGGAGAAATCAAGTTAAACTAAAACCTGTTGATTCCAGAATATAATTTCAGATTCGCCAATGTTTTCTTGTCAGTTGGAAAGATTATGGAAAATGTAGGGATAGAGGGAAAACTGTGGAAAGATGGATTGCTCTGAAATAATTCCCATAGGTGAGTCTTAGAACCCCCCTCAAATGTTCCTGCTTGGCTGTGACACCACCCTGGAGTGAAATATGAGCTGTGCTGCTGCCATCAACACCTTTGTTTATAGATGTTGGAGATCGTCCTGTTTTTCAGTGTAGTCCCGTTTCTCTGACTGTGACTGGCTGGATGTGCTCTCTTCATCCTCTAACATGGGAGCTGGCTCGGAGCTTGTCTGTCTGGCTGTGTGTTTCCTGGACAGAGCTGCTTTTTACAGTTGCCTTTTGTATCTCTGCTTCTGTCTCCTTGAACCCTTCTGTCTCCTTGAACCCCAGTCGGCCTCGGCAGATGGCCGCTCACACTGAGCCTGGTTCTGCTGGAGGTTTCTTCCTGTTAAAAGGGAGTTTTTCCTCTCCACTGTCGCTACAAGCATGCTTAGTGTGAGGGATTACATCCGAGTCAATGAGTCGATGCAATCAACTGGTTTTGCTTAGATAGAAAACTTTGAATACATTTGACTGTATGCTCTGGTAAACTGTAAAGTGCCTTGAGATGATGTGTTGTGAATTTGCGCTATAGAAATAAACTGAGCTGAACTGAACTGAACCCATTAAATTTTGGAGTTGATCAGGATTTCGGAATTTCTTAAATAATTTTGGAATAAAGTAAGTCATGGTAGGATTATTAAAGCTTAAAGGACTGAAAGCCCTGAACAAAGTAACTATAGAGAATTTGAAAACTTAAACTAGCCCACGGCTGTCTGTAGATCAAGTCTCTCCATCTCTCCAAAGAAGCACTACAGGTAGAAAATCAACATGGCGCCGCCTGTAGGCAGCGGCTTGATACAGCTCTCGACAATGCCATAAAATATGCTGCTTAGAAAGCTTAAAACTTTTTCACTGCTAAGCTGCTGCTCATTTACTAACTAAAAGCTGTGCAAAAAAAAAATTGTTTTGTATACAATATGTGTATACAAAATGACAATAAAAGTAATTTAATTATCACATTCACATCTACATGCCTGTTTGAATGCAGGAATACGATTTGTTTTTCCACTATAACCTCCACCAAGGAGGTAACGTTTCAGCACTGGATTGTTTGTTGGATAATGGAAATGCTATGGCCTATTAGTTGATAGTTTAGAACCTGTTAAAATTTGATAATGATCCAGATCCAGATTTAGATTTAGGAATATTTTTTAGATTTCTTAACATTGTGAAATGAGCTGCCTGCTGCAGGTTTGCACTCTAATTTATTTAGAAATGTGTCAAAACAAGGAAATCTGTTTCATTTTGCAACACAGGAGATGGGTGGATTTTCAATTTCTTCAAAAACCGGACGTCATGTGTTCTTATTTATAACACCTAAAGTTAATCTCTCTGAGCTTTCTAGAAATCAATGACAAAATTTCAAAGTAGTGCATCCCTGGGTAAAGCTTTTACAAAAAGATGTTAAAAAGCATTGGACTTTCTGTTCGTGAGATTTCTGAGGCTTTTTCTTTCCCATTGATGTGGTAAAGAAGTGCTTATTTCCGGTACTTAGAGTGTTTGTCATTTTGTTGGATGATCTTGCAGAGGAAAAGATCCAGAGGTCAGTTGCTAAATCAGCAGGCATCACTCAGCTACTTCCTCTCACTTATTCAATGATTCCCAGAAAACCACAGCAGTGAACTCGACCCACAGCGTGTACGTCACTCAATAACTTCCCACTGAAAACAACAGAAGATGTGCAGGAATCCAGCCTGATTTTACACAGACTCACAGTTTGGCTCATAAAAATCTCCAGCACTGCTCAAGTCACAAGAGCTCAAGATAATCCACTTTTTCTGCAAGTTAACAGAGATCAATTAATGGTCCCTAACGTTAAAGGGACCATTGTTTCTTAAGCTGAACAAAGTAATATAAGTTGATTCTTATGATATACCTCAAGGAGAAGTGAAGAACAAAACTGTACCTTTTAGATTAATACGACAATGCGGGGGCTGTTCAATGGTGCAGTGAGTAGCACTGCTGCCTTGCAGCAAGAAGGTTCCCGGTTCAATTCCCGGCTTTCTGCATTGAGTTTTCATGTACTCTCCTTGCATACATGGGTTCTCTCTGGGTACTCTGGCTTTCTTCCACAGTCCGTAAACATGACTGTTAGATTAATTGGCTTCTCTAAACTTCCCTTAGGTGTGAGGGTGAATGGATGTTTGTCTCTGTGTTGCCCTGCGATGGACTGGCCACCTGTCCAGGGTG